TGAAATCTAAAGATAAATAGCATTCTGATGCGCGCCTAAAGAATTATGATATAATTATTAAAATATATTGGCCAAGTAGGAGATTGTTGAAATATTTTAATAATTTAGTCTTATATTAGTATTCCAATAACTATGTGGTCAAATATATTTATTTGATTATATTAGTTATTTTATCAGATAAAATGTCTTAAATAATTATGTGACCAAATAATGTTAAAAGACTATTTAAATTTTATTTAGAAATTAATTAATTAATTAATTAATTAATTAATTGGATATATAGTCACATATGAGTGAATTTCAAGATGACCCATTTCGAAATAATGAGAACTCTTATTGGCCATTATCCTATATATAGGCTATGATCCACAATATACCGTACACAAATAGTTTACCTCTTCTCTCCATCTAAAGAGTGTTCAATGTATTAGGAGGACCAGTTGAGGAAGATCCACAAGTCAACAAATGTCAGTAATTTGTTTTACACTTTTGCGTTTCAAGATTACAATTATCATTGGCAAAAAACTTTTATCTTATGGATCTAGGTATTCCTGAAATCTCATATCTCATATACTAACATGTCGTAAATCATATAATTATATATATATATATATATATATATATATATATATATATATATATATATATATATATATATATATATATATATATATATATATATATATATATATATATATATATATATATATATATATATATATATATATATATATATATATATATATATATATGTGTGTGTGTGTTGATATTTATTTATTTTATTCTGCACTAAAATATATGATATAATAGGTAGAACGTGTATATGTGATTAATTGTTATTGAATTAATTCCAATATTTTTTTATATTTAACATAATTGATTAGATTATAGATGATTATGAAATTTTAGTTAATATAATACTCTACATTAAAACTACTGTCTAAACATAATAAGTTTTATATAATGTGATTTATAAGATGTATAAGTAAAAAAAGGTATATAATGATATTACAAAAATTTAAGAAATTATTATATTTCTTTTACAATACTTACATTTTTGTCGAGTTAAAACATTACATTCATAAAATAATAAGTTAAAAAAATCATATCAATAAAAAATATGATTTTTATTGATGCATATATTAGATTTAAAAACATTTATTTATGTGGCTACATAAATAATTATTTCATGAAATTTCCAGCAAATAACAATGATATAACACTAATTTATCATCTTTTCCTAATTCAAATCATCCAATAAAAAATAATTAGATAAAAAGTTAGATTAGATAAAAAATTAGAATAGTAGACAAATAAAAAGGATTGGAGCATTTTCATAAATAAATAAAAAAAGTGTTTCTGTGCTATAAATAAATTAAGTAATGAAGAGATATTGATATACACCCGAAAAGGTCAATGGCCAAGACGCCAAGTGACTAGGTCTACGAAATCAAACTGAACGGTCAATGTGTGTCAGCTCAGGTGAAATGTGCAAATCCGTACAATGATTTTAATATTATGAATCCCATAAATCATAACGAAAAATAATGTTATTCTACTTAGAAAGGGACTATTCATGTTTTATTTGCTTCGATATCTTGTAACTTCTTTAAGTCGTGAGATTGAATACATTTATTGTTTCATTGTTTGGGACCTACTGAAGCCAAACACCGCAACTGACCGGTTTTAGATTTATTTTTTGCCACAACAAAGCTACCGGTCTCTCAACTACTTTATTTTCTTTGGTTCATCCAAATCCTCTTGCGATTGAATGGTGACCCGTAGCCAATACACAACTTTGAGGGATTTTGGCCTTTAAGAAAGTGGTCAGATGTTTAATCCATCTCTTAGCGTATGAAAAAAGGAAATTAAAGATGTTGCAATTTTAATTGTTTAAGGCGTATAATATTATTACGCTAAAAGCGATTGGACTTGAGTGACAAATGAGTCTTTACAAAAGACGACATTCGAGAAATACCGAATTCGATTTCTGACAGAAACAACGCTTGACCACTTAAAAGCGATTGGACTCGAGTGACAAATAAGTATCTGTAAAAGACGACATTCAGAAAATACCAAACTCGATTTCTGATAGAAACAACGCTTGGCCACTGTACTTGCTTCCGTGGCACGAACTTATAGCGGAGAGGTACATGAAAAATAGTACCATCGCTCCATAATAGACTGCTAACTAAAGACAATTTAGTTACGAAAGGCATCATCAATCTCGATTCATAACTATGTGTTGGTGGGTGTGGTATAGTTGAAACAATATCTCACGATTTTGTGTCCCACTTTTGCAGGTATATGGTATATGGTTTGCAACTAGCTTAATATATCAAACATTATTTCAATGAGAACGTGTATCTCATCTTGAGCAGTTTGAATCACTACTTGGGAGTGTAAGATCTTATGCAAACAGATTAAGTGTGGCATGGTTTGCTTGCATTTGGAACATATGAAAAGTAAGAAACAAAAAAGTTATCAGTAACAAAGATGTTGCAGTGGAGCAGGTCTTTAAGTCAACAAAAAAGAATTCGCGGAATTGGCTAAATAGCAGATCTAAACAGTTAGTATGTTGTGTGTCCCAATGGTATCCGCCTCTTAAAATCTACTTCGAGTAAAAAGCCCGAAGGAGAGTTCAAGGAGTTCTCTATTGGTGTTTATAACAGCAGTTCAGTCACAGTTTTTGCAGGCTGAAACTTTGGATGGTGTCCTGGTCTAGAGAGGTAGTGCTGGTCTGGTTATTCGTCAGAGTTACAGTCCACCACTGTGGAGTTGGGAGGAGGCTTCAGATCTAACTGTGGAAACAGCAGTTAGTGTGAAGTGAATGTTCTGTTTCAAATTATATTTGTGATCTGGTACAGGTGGTGTAACTTGGCTCATTTAAAATAGAGCTATTTCTCTGTGTTTCTTGCTGTATTCTCTTCTGGTTTGGCATCGTGAATCAAGCTATCAGATGTATCATTTTGTAATGAGTCGTGGCTATCGTGATCAATTGATTCAATATCGAAGTTGGGGTGGTTGTATTGTGCAGAGGCTCCCTGTTTCTATCGAAGTTGGGGTGGTTTGATTGTGCAGAGGCTCCCTGTTTCTAACTAATTCGTTTGCGAGTTGCGAGTTTTTGGGGCTATTGTAATTAGTGTAGTGCCTTTCGTTGGAATCTCTTCTGTAACGTTTTTGTTCTTTCCTTTGCACTTGTTGTGCTTAGATTAGATCCCTTAACATATGATTTTGCTTCTTAAAAAAAATCAAGCAGTAGTTGCAACTCTTTTTCCCTCCAAAGTGAATTCCATTTTAAATTAGTCAAATCCTCACACACACAAAATGTTAGTTTCATGTTAAATTAATACAAAAATTAGTTTAAAAAAATTATAAGAATCAACCCTATGACTGGTGTTAACAATGCAAAACGAAAAGTTTTTATTGATATTTGATAAAGAAAAATGCCACTGCACTTTTGTATTTTTGGTATTATAAATTATTTCTTTCTAATATTTTGGATTTATTTCCCATGCTCTACACCAGCCTAAGGGGCCAATGTTGTGTGAACAAAAATTGAAACAATATTCTAATCTCAGTGTATCAATTGAATACAACATAAAACTACAAAAACTTTCAACAAAACGGCTTCAAAAAAGATAAACTAAAGCTATCCGCACAATTTTCATCCTTTGCATTCCACACTATGCTCAAAGAATGAAGACCATGTTTGTGCCTCAGGGAATAAATCTCTACCCTGATTATAGTTCCATGATATCACTTGCTAACCCGAAACAGGATTTTATTTCATTAGATTCTGTGTTAATGATACCTCAATTACTAATGCAACAATCAGCTGCCTAACCATTTCTTCTTCCCACCCACCACCATACCACCAGTAGATATGGTTGCCATTTGGCAATTAGATCGAAGGTAAATGAATATTGGATCCTAGTTGTTTTGTAATCCATGTAACTTAGCATCAAATGCTGTAATTTTTTACTCCATCATATTGTCAATAGACATGATTTACTTTTGCAAGGAAGACAAAACAAAACACTGGTAATCCATAACAGCAAAGACAAGCTTGAGCAAAGCAGAAATATAGTGTGTATGCTTCTTCTTTCAATTGAAAAGGACTTATGCCAATAAAAAAAGAACCATTCACTTGTGATGACATTTAATAAATAATGGGGAAAATAAAGTAAGTTGGCTCCTCTCAAATTGATATCCAACCATACCACCACCACCACATCAACAACCACAACAATAAATGTCTTTTCTCAATATGTGAAGTGGATTATATGAATCTAATTCTGCCAAGATATCCCATTGTGAATCATGTCTAAATACAACCATATCACCAAAGTTTAAATATATTTCACTCACTAAGTTTGTCACTGATGTAGCAAATAAATTTCATAATTAGCTTGCATGAATCCAAGCTTACAGAAGATTGATATTCTTAGTTGGTGGGACCAAATGTGAATATTTGCTGAAAACAAACTGTTTTGCTACATATCTTAATCATTCAACATATTTGAACCGGTATAACATTGCACAACTGATATCAGAGTACCAAATTTTGTCAAATCTCACAGTCATATTCAATTATTTATCAATATAAAGCTCACAACTATTGCAAATCATTAGCAAGCTTCCCTGAATATTAAAATACTCAAATATGCCCTGCCTATTGACATTGTTAGAAAAGATAATGAGATTTTCACTCCACCAACTGCACTTTCAGTACATTCTTCCATTATTTCACAACTCAGTCTTTTAATGATCATAGTAATAATAATAATTAGAATGTTTCACAGTTCCTAGCAAGACAAATCAAATAATATAGCCAATGCAGCCTGGTTACAATTTGAAACCCAACAAAATTGCTAGTTTAGAATAGAGCTAGCTACTAACCAGGTGGGTGGAGAGCAAATAATTTCTTCAAAGTAATCATCCTATTGCCTGTCTCATGAATACAAATTACAATTCTGCATCATTGAAAACCAAAAACCTTACTCACTACTACTATCATCTGAGTCTGAAACTTCATCCTCGCAGAATTCATCACTTGTTTCAACCTCTTCCTCCTCAGAATCCCCATCTCCCATTTCATCATTCTCCATAGAATCAACCATCAAAGCATCTTCCCCAACTTTCAATGATCCATCACCACGATAAAGAAGCCCCGTCCTCATCACATGGTAAAACTTATCTCTATGACGAGCAAGTGGATGCGGATCCACCAGTTTCCCCCTTGCATACCCTTCTCTAAGAGTAACAGTAGTTGTTTTACACTTCAACGAAAGATAAAATATCCCAGGATATCTCGTAAAAATCCTCGTAAACTTATGAGGAAGATTCAACTCCTCCCTCAAACTTCTCAAGTAGTTCCTCTTAGTTTTCTTATGCAAACACAAACTCAAAATCTCATGCAAAACCCCAACAACGCGCTTCTCCATCAAATCACTTTTCGGATCAATCTTAGACGAATCCGCATAAGGCGAAATATAAGGCAATTTCTGAAACTCATCCATCCAAAACCTAACCTTCTTCTGTCCACCATAGCCTCTCGGAAACCTCATCGGAAAAACCAACGCGGTCTTCCCTCTCTTAAACTCCCTATACTGATCACTCTCACACTCATTACTCTTCTGCAAAGCCGAGACCGCAAATTCATCGCACCACCGCGCAAGTCGAACAGCCGAAACACCATTGGGAGCCTTAACAAACTGAAAATTTTCAGGATATTTGGGAATTAGGGTTTTCTCAAAGGAATCAGGGAAACCTAGATCAAATTTAAGAGGATAAAGAGACTGTAAAGGAACAGTACGAGTTTTCATCATCATGAGTAACCTAGAGAGTCTCTCAACGGTGTCGTTTTCGTGAAGAGTGTAGATATTCTGTTCTTGAGAATCTAAAAGCTCCGCGGTTTCGGTTAAACGGAAACAAGGGAGAGAGTTCCAGCGAGGGTGAGGGAACTCGTGGAACAGAGTCGGATACCTGCGCATGAAGCGGAGGACGGGGACGGTTAGGCCGAGAAGCTTTTGCCAGTCGGCGAAGGTTTTGGCGGTGAGGAAACCGGTGGAGGAACGCTTGATTGCGTCTTTGAGAAGCGAAGCGGCTTTGAGATCGGTTTCTTTGTCGATTATGTGATCGATGCTTCGGTTTTTTACCCATTTTAGACGGACTTTTGCTATGCCACGATGTTGGAATTGAAGGTTCGTCAATGGAACTAGTGCATTTTTTAATTTATTCATCATCTTTCGACTTTAACTCAACTGTGAAATGGAATTGTCAAACTCATAACTAAAACCCCTTGTTTTCTTTTTCTTCTCTAAACTAAAACCCTCTTGTTTTTTTCTTTCAAAAGAGGCCCAACATGATGATAAAGACGGTGTTGGAGATTTTATTCTACCATCCAGATTTATATCTCACACCCCACACATTTTATTTTTACCATATAAACCCTGTAAGATATTTAAATTCCCCTGCCTAATCATTAATTTGTGCGAAAGTCGGGGAATGCGTGAGTGCTTTATAGATGAAATATGCCACCCTCATGTGATATTTTAATATGGAAGCAATCCAGACACTCTTAAAGCCAAAAGGAAGAAAAAGGTAGCCATAGGCAAGACAAGATACGCTAGAGGGAGAGAATTCGTTTGAAACTGACAAAGTCTTGTAGGGAGTCCTCCTTCAGATGTAGAAGGATCATAGAGATTTTTTCAAGTTTGTAAGAGACCAACAAGCATGGTAGGAAAAGATGTTTACCCTTAACTATGGAGGAGTCTTGGAGAAGCCACAATGACAGTGAGAACACTGTCCATACTCTATGTTTGGGGGTGTGGCAGTTCCAATCATGACAATTGTTTAGCAAAATCAATTCACTCATAATCATATGATAGCTTTAGGATTTTCAAGTTATACCATTTTAAATTTTGTCATTTAAGTTTCTATATTTTTTAATTTCTAAAGTAATGAATGGAAAAATGTATGTTTTACGTTTCCATTTTTGTTGTGTGTTTTTAAAAAAATCAGAAGAAAAATAAATCACCTTATTCTCTTAAATAAAATAAATTCTATAGACTTATAACAATTATCATTATAATGTGACGATATTGAAAACAAAGTCTTGATAACTAATCAATGCACCATCCTGTGATTTTATGATAACCGATGTCGCATCTTTAGTGGTCACGAAAGTAGTTAACCTCATAAAAAGTTTGAATTTTCTTAAAATATGAAATGAGGTTCATTGTAGGATTTAGTATAAGGGAGTATAATATTTTTGCTTAACGGTAGCATAAACGATACACTGCATGTAATAATGAACACATAAAAGTGTTTAAAATAATGAAAAGTGTCAATGAGCATTACAACTAAATTTTTTGTGCCTGGAACTGGAGGAGGAGTTCATGTTCCAGAAACTGGAGAAATAATAGGTTGGACTCATTACAAGTGGGATCCTGTCAAGTGAAAAGGCAGACCATCTAATAAAACTTATCAATAACAAAAATACATGTGTAAGCCCCAAGTTCAAAATGAACCAAAAGTATAAAGAAGAACAGTTAATTATCCCTTATGAATTTTCAAAAAATAATTATTGGACCATAAGATGAAATAACTAAACTAGGATTTAGGTTGACTATCTTAACTGAAGAGTTATGACATATCAGGTAGCATTAGAAAGCGCGCGCACACATACGCACACACACACTAGTAGCAAGATTGAGTTGTGCCAATTTTGGAAAACAACCATCTGAAATGAATTTTGAGTTGATTATGAGTTGAACTATTAAACTAGAAGATGAAGGGAAATGAAATTTTTTATGTTGTTATCTGTCACATCACCTGAGGGTAGGTAGTGATTTAAGTTTGGGTGTGTGATAACTCACATTTTGTGAGATATTACAAGACTTAATACTTGAATCTTTCTATTAATTTTGCCATTCAGTAGTTAAATTTATTGTATTTTATTGTTTTAAGAGTAGTTTGTAAATAGCACAATAGGTGATAATTTTGTAGTTTTTATGTGTTTGTTTCTTGTGAAAGGTTATCTTCTGGTGAGGTATGAGACAACAACTTGTACCCAAAGGAAATAGAAAGTTGGAAGCAGTTGAAAAAAAGGAGAAACATCAATTGCATTCCTAGGACACACGTTGCAAAAATATGAACTTGGAAGGAGAGTTGATGTGAAAGGATAAGAATGAGACACTAGGAGATAAAAGCCAGTACCTTTGTACATCCACTAATGCGCCACGTTGCTACAAGGACAGTCGCCACCTGTTTGTCTGCACCGGCAGACTACCATGCTACACTTTGTTCCCCATTGTTGTTTGTACCTGATTATACTTTTGTATAAATTGAAATAAAATGGAAGGAATAATGTTGATTTTCTTTGGGCCTTATGTGACAATTATTCTCAAGCCCAAGATCTAAGACAATATGCAAATCCTAGCTGAAGCAACTATAAAAGCATCTCTTGAGGAAGTGAAGAAGAGTTCACCAATTGGAAAAATAAAACACACTTAAAAATACCACTGAAGGTATTGAGTTGAATGAAAATGGAGATTCTTCTTTTGATCTCCTCGAGTGCCTACTGCTGACACCTGACGTGAGAGAAATCGTCTCTTGGTGACTAACCATTGCAAGAAGATGAAGAAGTTGCTTTTGTGTTGTTATTTCTTTTTCACTGTGTGTTTGAGAATGATTAGCTTATGAACTAGTATTGTTGTATATACTCAACTCATTATGAGCTAACCCTTTTATGTTGAGCAATGTAAAGTTTATATAATAAAGTCTTTTATGTTAAATGTTGTGTTGTTAGGGCTTTGTTTTATCATGTGTTAAACTGTTATAAATTTTCTTCTTTGATTGATCAATTTGAAAAAATATACAAGCTTGTTACTGTGAGAGATCCAACAACAAGTGAATTTCATGGTAAAAGTGATTGAAAACATTTGGATATAGATCTTCACTAGATTAACTACTCTAGAGATAAAGAGTTGCAATCATAAAGGGCATTCATAATACAACCAGAGATGTGTTAAGGTTACAAGTGAGGCTTAGATATTTATCTCATTGCCTTGATGTATATGTTATTGATATTGTACAAATACACCACTAGATCACTTTTTAACCATTCCTAGCACGACACAATACATCATGTATGCATAAATGACAAGTTATATTAATAGATTATTTGCCAACATGCTCTCTATTATAGAACTCACTTACATTCTTGACACTATTTTGAATGTGTTTGCTACTAAAATGAAAATGTGACAATCTTAAATTATTTTTATCTTGCTCATGCTTATTTACAAAACATATTTCTTAGCAAAATCAAGCTATGTTATTTTCCACTCTCTGTGTGTTCGAGACATCCTTACTATTATATCACTTGATACTTAAAACATACATGTATACTTACATGTGACATCACATGTTTCAACCAATTATTTCCCCTTGAGATTTCCATTAAAATGAACTTTTCACATAACCAGACGAAAAAGCTTTCACAATAATTTGAGCTTTTGCAATGGGATCAACCCAACAACCTTCCACAAACTAACAAAGCTTTTATATGAGCTTAGCTCAAAACCTTCACTCAAACTTTTTTCATGTTTAGCTTGAAACCTTAAATTTCAATACAAATATATCACAAGAGAACAAAACTATTGATAAGTGCAAATTGTAGCTATTTTTGTATATACTTTTTGTTGCACTTATCGACTCTTTGTTGTTAAAAATCATTGAATAAACTCGACTTTTATGTAAATACATTTAGTTTGTGTATATTTGTGATTTTGATTGATTTGTGTAACGTTTGATAGATTTTACTTCTTTTGTAGGTATTTGTCGCATTTTTGGAGCATTGAGCAATAAGGCATCGAAGGCACGGCTCCGAATGTGCATTTTCAGAATAAAAGACCATTTTTGAAAAGTTTTGCTCAGGGGAGCATGCTTAGCGTGGTCTTCCCGCTAAGCGCGAGTGCGCTCATTGCATTTTGTAGTGTGCTGCTTGCATTTTGAAGATTTGGCATAATGCTTAGAGCGGATAGCGCGCTTAGTGCGGTTTAGGTAGTTTAATGTGTAAATATCACTCATCCCGCTTAGCGCTTAGTGCGGCCTACTGAGATTTGTTTTATAACTTCATTTTCGTTTCATTTTAGGTTATGATTTTTGGGGTGTTTTTGTTCACAAATTCCATCAACCTTATTTTTTATAGATTAGCTTAGAAAAAACACTAGGCTTTGCTTATGGATGATTGGAGGTGGATTTCTCTTCGACCGTCACTGATAACCCGGAAGATTTGTAGTTTATCTCTTCTCCTCTCTATGTATTTCTCTTTTGTTGGGCTTTGTGTGTATTTTTACTTTGAACTCATGTATATTTATCGCCCATGGTGTTGTATAAAACTTGCTTTACAAATATTTGTCGATTATTGTCCTCGATTTTTACTCTGTATTAGGGATTTGAGTTGTTATAGACATATACTGCTTGGATTCTTATCTAGGATGATTATCTGTTAGTATCTGAATTCTAGAGGTAGATTTAGAGCTGACACTCACTTGGGCGTCTGTGATTAATACTTCTGTGTTGGTTGTGTCACTCTGAGAGATCTTTGACGCAATTAGCACGATTGACTTCTGTGTTGTTAAGGTGGTTGAGAGATCGTTATCGAGGTGATACAGTCGGCCTCTCAATTTGGGTTAGAAATAACTTAGGTAATGAGTGATACATGGTGATATTGATGAATATTGTAAATTGAGTATAATTGGTCGATAGGTTTAAGTTTGTGACAAGTAGAGTACATTCGAGCCAAATAAGTTTGTATTTCCTTTTTATACATTTATTTTCTGTTGATACCTTTCCTTTCAACCCATTTATCCCCTAAACTCATTAACAAGAGATTTTTCGAACGGAGACTCGATAGCCCAATCTCTATGGACACAATCTGATATAACCTAAATATCACCCGGTAAAATAATACTTTACTTTTTACTTGCCGCTTTACCGCTTCAGCAACTATTGAAAAAGTGCTATCAGCACGACACCAATATAACCACTCTCAGAAGTAATTTTTTTACTCTCTTGCCACTGAGAAAACTTTAGTGAAAAGCATATTTATAAAATAAATGAGAGAAACAAATGGTAGAAGAGTTTCTATTCAAAAAATTGTATCTTTTTAAACTCGGAGAAACATCACTTATATAAAATTTTTTTTACTAGAAATGAAAACAATCCATGGGAAATT